GCTGCTGAGTTTCTCCTGGCATTGCTGCGTTGCTACCCCAAGGGCGCCCGTGTTGTTCAACGCAAACTTGTGCCGTGGGGTATGGTGCGGGTTTGCGTGCCTTCCTTGTGCTCTGCTGCTGATTTTTCCACTTTGAAGGAGGCTTGGAATGACCACATGAGGCAAGCTGAGCCGGAGCAACACTTTTTGGAACAGCTGCATCACGAGGAGACGGTGCAAGTATGCGGTCTATTGCAAAGTGATGACCCCTGCTCGACTAGTGCGGAGCTGATCGTTGTGGGCATCCCGCGTGAACCTCAGGACTTCGTCAATGAGGCGGTCAAAGCGGGACACCCTCGGAACGGGCTTGCTTCTAGTCGGTCTGGGCCGGCTGCTGACATCGTGGATGCTGTGCTCTTGTCCTTCGAAGACAGGGAGAAGAGGGCTGAAGCCGCAAGGCAGCGATGGAGCAACATCGAGGCGACTACGAGGTCTCTTAATGACAAGATACTGAAGGGCAAGCCCAAATACTTGATCGAGGCTCTTGGTAACAAGAATGTCCTTGCCTGGAGAGACATCCTTCGACACAATGGCTTCAAGGACGATCAGCTTTGGGCAGATTTGAGGGATGGCTTTCGCCTCACCGGGTGGATGAGGGACACTGGAATTTTTGACAAAAAAATTGCGACCTCCCGAGACAACCCTTGAAAGGCTGCTCGAACAATCCAGCTACCGTACTCCTCTTACCTTGAACAAGTTGAGGAAAACGGTGGTGGATGAGACCACCCGCAAAGCTTGGGCGGAGACGCTTGAGGAGGAGAAGAAGGGATGGATCTTCCGAGAGGAGATGGCTGCTGGCAAACCGATGGTCATTGCCCATCGGTTTGGCTTGGAACAAAAAGGCAAAGTCAGGGTCATTGACAACGGCAAGGAATGTGGGCTTAAATTGGCTTGCGGCTTGCCAGAAAAGTTCACCTTGCACGGAGTAGACGTTCTGGCTGGTATCTTCGTCGAGCTGCTGAACAGGCCGCTTGCCAGAGGATTGCGAATCAAAGGGAGGACTATTGATTTGGTTTCAGCTTACAAGTTTTACCCCATACATCCTGAAGACAGACAGCACCTACGGATTGGGGTATTTGACACCGACTCCAAAGTTGTCCGATTGTACGGCACTAACGTCTTGCCCTTTGGTGCTACAGGAAGTGTTGCTGGCTTCCTTAGAGTATCAGCTGCGTTGTGGCACACCGGGGTACATGACATGGGCCTTGGCTGGTGTGCCTATTTTGACGACTTCCCTCTGTTGGCAGTTGAAGGCCATGAGGCTCAGGTGAATAGCTTCGCGGGAGAGGTCTTTGACGCTTTAGACGTGGAATACGCCAAGGAAGGGAAGAAGGCTACGGAGTTTGGGGAAACCTTCAACGCCCTGGGCCTTTCTTTTGACTTGACCCGTTTCCGTGATGGTGTGGTGACGCTGCGCCACACCGAAGCAAGGACTACTGAGCTGTTGGAGACGCTTGATGGGATACTCCAGGAACGCAAGCTTCGTCCCAAGGATGCTGAGGTGCTTCGCGGCCGGATGCATTGGTATACGTCTTACCTCTTTGGCCGGGCTCCTTGCGAGGCGATGCACCAGATATCG